ACCCACGCCGGCAACTTCATAGTCCTAGGGCCTTTAGTGCCCGCCATCGCGTGGATTGAGAACTCAGCCTCGTCACTGAGCACCTCAACCTCCACCTCCCGTTCTTCCTCGATCACCGGCTCCTCGTCATCCGTGTCCACGAACTCGATCAAGAAATTCTGCTTGCACCGATGCCCTGGCGTGTACTTTTCCTCGCACCGGAAACACAGCCCCTTCTCACGTCTTCGCGCCATCTCCTCCTCCGTCAAACTCTTTACCTCGGTTGCTAATGGCCTAAAGGTGCCTGGCGGCCTCGCGTTTGCACTAGGTGCACCCACGGTCGCCGGCACACGCCACGGCTCTGGGACACGAAAATCCGCACGTCCCCTTCGAGTCGCGGCCAAGTGATCTTCCCGTCTCCTAGCAACCTCCAGGCCTTGTGCATGGTCTCCGGCCTCTCCAATCGCACTTCGGCCGCGAGATCATACCTAAGCCCTCCATCAAACGCGCCAACAAGCATGCTCTCCGGCAACCCACGAACCCGGTACGCCAATCTCTCGAACTCCTTTTAGTAGTCACGTACAGTCCCTCTCTGTCGGATCCGAGTCAGCATCTCGTCGTGGTTATGATAGTCCGAGTTCCCAAAATGCGTAAGGAGCTCGCGTTCAAAATCTTCCCAACGGATCGGTTGTTGCGGCCCGTGATACACGCGCGTGAGCCACTGCCACCACACGTTGGCCTCACCATCTAAATAGTACGCGGTATACCGAACCCAGTCACGTTGCGGCATCTCATTTAAGTCGAGAATTGCTCCGCCATGTTCAGCGAAGCATCGGGGTTGGTTACCGTGAACGTCGAGAGCACGATCCTTGGCTTCTCGACGCGTGGTCGCTCTTGTACGTTCGAAGCCTGCGACCGCCGTTCGTATTCTTCCTCCTCCTCGGGTTTGTGCTCAGCCAGCTGCTGCTCCTAATGCCTTAGACGCTCGCGTGCGTTCACCCGTGGTAGCTCCTACTGCTGTCGCTGGAACCCGCGCAACACCTCCTCCAGGCGCTGCTCGAGGCGAGCCACGACAGCATTGGTACTGATCTGTACCTCGTCGAGCGATCCAAACTGACCCTCGATGCTCTCGCTTATGGCCTTGACGTAGCCTTCTAATCTTTCATTCCTTTCCTTAAACTCTCGATTGGCCATATCTTTTTTGCTTGCCTACGTTCTCGACTTGCCGGACTAATTTATTTTTTTTTTTCTGAACGAACGAAAATTAAGAAAGAAAAATTAAAAGAGAATAGGAAAGGAAAGACACACGATCAACCCTCTCAACGAGAGCACCAATGATGAAGACCGTGTGTCTCGATTGCCGACAAGCCGCTCCCGCGCCTTAAATCGCCGATACTGTGCTCGGAGATTCACACACTCGCGCACCTTCGAACGATAATTTGCAATAGAACACTTAACGTAAACTAAAGCAAGAGATTTGAAAAAAGTTCAGTTTTGTATTAAGAAGAATCAACGATGAATAATTGAGAACAAGGAACGCCTCTTTATAAGGCTCAAAATAAAGATCTAGTCCTAATCTACTTAGACTAGACTACCTATTCTGGGAAAGCAATAAAATATAAGTGTAATACCCCGTTCGATTGTGGATTATTGGTGTTATTATTTATTTTCTTTATTATTATTTGTGCTCCTTATATTATTATTATTTGCTAATGTGATTATTATTATTATTAGTACTATTATTATAATTGAATGTATATATATATATATATTTATTTGTCAATTGTAATTATTTGTCTAAATGCATATTATTATTATTATTATTATTATTATTATTATTATTATTATTATTATTATTATTATTATTATTATTATTATTATTATTATTATTATTATTATTATTATTATTATTTTTAAATATGGTGTGTATTATAAATATAGATAATCCGGATTATTTTGTTTATCGTCGTCTATCGAGTCGATCGGAATTATTTTTATCGCGTTGTATCATCCGAACCGTTATTATTTATCAAGCCTGGAATTCTATTTTTCGGCCCAATTGAGAAGGGAGTCCTTCAGCTATTTTGACTAATCAATTGAGGCCCAATCTTTTTATTCAACTATTGCCATTTGGGTAATGTTTCCTTTGACCCATTTTGTACGATTTTCTTGGCCCATTAAGAAGCATTTTATTGAACAGATTGCTTCTTCTCTGCGCAAGACCGAGTCTCCCTCTTCCGCCCTTATGTTCCAATTTCCTTGTGTAACGTTCTCACATGATCGCTCAAATCACCCGCACATCTCTATAAACTGTACCGAGAGCAATTTCAAATGCATATCAGATTTCTTTTAAATTCACCCTCTGTACCCTCTCTCTCTCACCGGGCCTGTAACAGAAAAACATCCTTCACCATTGATTTTGGTGAACACTTACCGTTCGAGAATCCGACCATCCACGTGAGTCTGAAATCGACTTCTATCCGAATTCTCGAGCAACCCCAGTCCGTCGGGAAGACCCCATAACTTTGTTCGCAACAGCCACCATTACCGGGGAACTTGAGCCGTTGTCGAGCTGATTGTCGAGGTGAGGCCCCGCAGCAACAGGACGTCCATTCTTTCATGGGCAGCGACGCATTCAAGGAGTTCCGAACCTTGGAGGTGTTGGAAAGTTCATTCCGTTCGTGCCCGTTGTCCATTCGTTCCCAACCAAATTTCTCGAAGAAAGGTATTCCGCGAACATTCTCGATGCAATCGTACTCGTGTCTGCTCGTTTGGTTATATTCGTACTATTTGAATCGATTTTCGTTTGATTTTATTGGCTCATATATCGTTTTGTTCGGATTATGTTTCGTGTTATTGTCGTGGATTTTCGGAACTCTCGTTTATTGAATAAATCAAGTCAAGATGTGTTGCTGTGTCTATTCGATTGGTATATGGTAGTTCGGAGTCTCGTTTTATTGTTTCGAACCTTGTCGACGTGGTTGTGTCGTTTATTGTTTCAAGCCATATTATTGTCGGTTTGATTTTTGATTCAAAAACTTGTTTTAAAAACATTTCGGGAACTCTGGGAAAATATATGTCCGCTATTGTTGCAAATGTTCGAACGCTTCGTGAAATTTCTGTTGATTTTCGACCATTAAGAGCTTGTGTTGCATCCCTGTTCGAAGGTTTCTATCTTTATTTTTATTTTTTTTTTGTGCAGATGCCAGGGTTTTGTTTACGATTTTATAGCTTCAGTTTTCATTTAATATCGCGACCTAGGTGTGTGGTGCGGTGGTAACTAAGTTCGTTTCTATGGTAGAGGTCCTGTGTTCGATCCTTCACGCCGCATCTCTTTTTTTTTCTCTCTTTTAATATTTCCAGCCCATTAGTGCGCGGGCTTTAGGGCCCAAACTCTGGCCCGCGCGCCCGTTTTCCCTATCAAAGCTTCCAGCCCGCGGGTGGCCCGGTCCAGACCAGCGTCCTGCAGGCCTTAGGTGCGGCCCAATTGCTTATTGTGGCCCAATTTCGTTGGAGCCAGGCCCAATTCCGGGCAGATGCAGCCCAATTCGGCTTTTAACTAAAATTTTGTGTTTCGGAGCCTGTTTTTCGTACCGAACTTATTTTTAAAATTATTTTCAAAGTAGAAAAATTTTAGAAAAATTATTTTAAGTCCCGAGACTCCAAATTAATTTTCCGTGTCCTATTTTGCAAAAATGAGAGAGTTCCAAGTCCACGAAAAATCCGATTTTAAAACCCATATGTCTTAATTTATATTAAGTATGGGTTTTATGTTAAATTCAAGTAGTGAGCTAAATTATTGATAAATTATCTCCCTTAAATGTAGGTGTTTGAGGAGTCGAGCCACATCCTACGTACTTGCCTTTGTGTGGTATTCTATTCCTATTCCAGGTGGGTTGTAATTGTAAAATTTACTATGCCTTAATTAATTGTTTTTGTTGTTGTATGATCAAAGTATGCATGTGAACCATGTAGCCTTCGATCTGAGCTACATTGGTCGTCGAACGGTTATCCCCGTAGCTATAGAACGTACCTTTGGGTAGTCTCCTTTATTATTGTTGGCAGTCAGGGCGTGAGTCTTGGCTGGTGATCCTCGTATGTAAGGCCAAGGCGTGAGTTTTGGCATTCGGGGTGGATTATTGCTCTTGTTGGCCGGGCACTCGTTGTAAGGCCTTCGAGGAAGGCGTTCGGTATATAGCTCGGCAGTATTCTATTGTTATAGGTGTGCACATGAGACCATTATTGATTATTGATAGAAGATGGGACGGTTATTGATTCGTATACATGCTACGACCATACTTAAATTGTTTTCATTAATTATTGCATAGCGGTGAGCACCTCGACTTTTCTATTGTGCTCATCCCCACCTGCTCTTCATGGATGCAGGTTAGTTTATGCGTCACGAAGGAAGGGATGCGAGTGGTGGTCTTTAATTTGAATAAATGCTTCCGCTTTAAACTGAACTTGGATATTATTGCATTATTATTGACTATTGTTTTTCCAGTATTGGAGTATTGGATTATTGATAGAGATTATTTCCCTAGGATCATTATTGGATTATTAGTTGATTATTGGGATTTTGATATTGATTATGAGTATTGATAATTGCCGAATATTGAGAAAATGTTGAACATTGATTATTGTTTTAAAAATGAGTAGCGTCTCAAGTGTTTTTGAAAATAAATTTCTAAAAATTTATTTTGATTTTCGGTAAATAAAAGTGGGGTGTTACAGTTTGGTATCAGAGCCAGCCTGCGTTTCTGTAGACTGGTCTAAGTTATGGAAAGTGAATGTGTGATTATGTGTTTCAAAATCATGTTAAGACCACTCGCTCTCGTCGTGTCGCGCCAGCTCAGGTATGAGTACTTGAATAACTTTGAGATTTTTGCATATTGTTTGATTATTGATTATTGGAATGAAATCGGGGTTAGGACGAATCCACCTTTAAATTCGAACTCTAGTGTTGAACTCTAGACTTCTTTTATTATTGTGCTAAACTGTTCGACCCACTTTCAATGTAGAACAATGGCTCGTCGTAATGCTCGCAACCGTCAGCCTACTCCGTCTCCACCTCCGTCCCCATACCCATCTCCACCTCACCAGCAGGCTCCCAATCCAGCTGGGACTCATCTCAACATTGTGATTCAGTTTCGCCAGTTGACCCTGCTGATTTTCACCGGGGTGGAAGGGCCCGAAGCCGTGGCGGAGTGGATCCGTCAGTTAGAGCAGAATTTTGATTTGTTGCAGTGCACCGATGCCCAGAAGGTCGTCTGTGGCCGCTATATGCTGAAGGGCGATGCCGCCCTATGGTGGTTCGGCTATTGGAGGTTGAGGCAGGCAGAGTTTAATGCCCTGACTTGGAATCGCATGAAGGAGGTGATCATGGAGAAATATTATCCTCAGAGCTATCGCATGAGGATGGAGCGTGCTTTCTGGGATCTTACTCAGGGGACTGGTACCGTTGAGGAGTACGAGCAGGAGTTCACCCGCATGAGTTCCTTTGCTCCACATATGGTGGACACTGACCTGAAGAAGGCCCACAAGTTCCGAGATGGACTGAATCGAACTCTCCGTATGCATGTTGCTAGCCAGGGAAATCTTTCATTTTTTGAGACCGTTATCCGAGCCGTCCAGCTTGAGAGTTATCAGACTCTCGATGCTTCCGTCCCTTCTGCTCAGCTAGTTCAGCCTATTTCCTCTGCACCACCCGACTCTAGTTCGGGTAAGATAAAGTTTGGTTCCCGCCGGGATAACCGGAAGGGAAAGCGTGGGGCACCAGACCGCCGTGACATTCCACCAGCTGCCCATGGTCAGAACACGAAATGCCCTAAGTGTGGCCGCTATCATCATGGAGATTGTCGTTTCACCCAGAAGGTCTGCTTCAACTGCATGAAGCCCGGTCACTTCTTCAGCCACTGCCCCGAACCCCCGAGGCAGCAGCCTTATCAGCAGCCCCATCAGCAGCAGCAACTTCCTCCTCCACCTTACCAGCAGCAGAGACAGCCCCCACCACACCAGTAGAGGGCTGGGGGTCAGTCTCGAGTCTATACCCTTGCTCATGACGAGGCAACCAACAATGCAGGTACCATGTCTGGCATGATTTCTTTATCCAATGTGCCCATCTTTGCGTTATGTGACACTGGAGCTACTCATTCCTTTATCTCCTCTCGATGCTTGGATGCCCTGTCTATTGATAATGTATGCAACTGTGACCCTCTCGAGGTTAGTCTAGCCTCGGGAAAGATTATTATTTCTGATTCTATGATTTCTCGTCTTCCAGTCAGTATTGGTGCGCGTGTTTTGGAGGCCGATTGTTATGTTATTGAAATGTGGGACTTCGATGTGATCTTAGGCATGGATTGGCTCACTCGCTATCGAGCCGATATCCGGTGCCAGGAGCGCGAAGTCAGTCTCTTCCCCGTTTCTGATCAGCCTGTTATTTTCAATGGGGTGAAGTCGAGGACTGTGTGTAACACCCCGCTTATCAGAGTAAAATTTTTTTTTTAAAATTATCTTAACTCGAGATGCTACTAAAACTCATCTTTGTTGAACTAGTATGATAACTTATCTCGTTTATAAAATAAACAAGAAAACTTTCTTAAATA